ACAAAATAAACAAGTTGCATCAAATATTAAATAAATCACCTTTTTTATGTTTACTTTAAAATATTTGTTCACCATAAAATAATAAAACAGATAGGATGTTGATGTACCAGTAAAAGACTGAGTGAAGACTCTAATCTTGTGTATAATACTGGCATTAGTACTCATCATAGACCATTGTGCTCACGGACCCTTTGTCGAATGCCCATCTAATTTTGATCAGGGTTGCCATTTGGCCTTTTTGACGGCCAGATTCCTCAAATCTGGCCGTATAAAAATTTGCCTGGCCGTAACATTTGAAAAGTCACGGCCAAACTATATTTGGCCGAATTTTTGAAAAGTTTACATTTTTTTTTTTCAATATAGGCCTAATATAACGTAGACTTGTTTTGGATATTTTGTTTCTGTTAGCTTAAATTCTATATTTGATTCTAATCTTACCTTTGTTTGTACTTGCACTAAACACTTTTAAAATCTATGTTCCCCGATTCAGCTGATTTGACCTAAGAGAGTTTATTTAAAAGATAGCAGTTACATTTAGTAATTTAAATTATTCGGATGAAATACATTGTTTATGAAGTTTATCCTCGTTTGAGCTTTATGAAGGCAGTTCATTGCAAGTTTGTACCATATGTGTGTCTTTGTATATATGTTCCATCTTACTAGTGGAGGTTCCATCTCTTTTGAATTTCTTTTGAATATAAATTAAATACTGTACTTTAATTAATTTATTATTGCCCACTTGAATTGTATAGCCCTAGGTGCTGCAGTGTTCTTTATGTAGAGCGCCATATATTATGCTCGATGTGATCATTCGGGTCCGAAGGCACCTCCAATTTCAAGCAAGTGTTGCAGAGACTTCTTCGAAGTTACTCTGGAGAATGAAGAAGATATTAATTCTGATAGCAACATTGATTTATTGCTTTAAGTACTGCGACAATAACATTCAGAGGCGAATTTATAAAGTTTAGATAAAAAGTATTTAGGCCTATTAAAGTTTTCATAGGTTTGTTTTAACGCCAGTTTGTGTTACCTAACTACCGTATGTAACTTAATTCATTCTAATTAAAGAGAGCCACGGATTTGCCAATAACAGGTCCTTAAAATTTTTGCTATAGATCGACTACAATGTACATTAATATTTAACACATTTAAATCAAATTTAGGTCAATCTTAATATTATGATTTTAAATAGCAGAGGTGGATTTAAGGGGGAGGGGTGGTAAAAAAAAAGAAAGAAAAATTGATCGCCGAAAAGCATCAGGTTATTTTCAGGTGTCTAGAAAAGACAAATTTCCTCTAAGATGGTGTCATCTCGTTCGGACCCGCTTTCGCCCCCTCGCCTCCCTCCCCCTTTTTCCGGCCCCGGCTCCTCCCCCTTTCGGACATCTCTGGATTTTCCCATGAATTGCCTTACATGCCAGCAACTAAAGAACATAGGCTATTTATTTTTAACATTGTTTTGTGTATATCATTTGAATTTCTTCAATTTCAAACGAATGACCGCTGATTTTCGTGTCATTTTTGTAGTATTTCAAATGAATGTACCCACTGTTGTCTTCTAATCGGATTAAAATCTGGCCGAATTTTGGCCGATATCGAAAAAAAGTTTGGCCGAATTTGGCCGTGAGATGGCGTGTGTTTGGCCGTGAAGCCCGTCGAATATCTGGCAACCCTGATTTTGACTGATATATAAACTAATAAAAGAGACGAACAGGGGCGGATGCAGGATTTCGCGGTAGAGGGGTGCATGAGAGTCCACACCACCTCAGCTCCACCATGGTTGGCTTGAGTTGCGAACATTTTGAGAATATGAACATCTAGGTGCCCGGAAATTGCACTCTCATAGCTTAAAAATAGGTACCTAAAAGGTACATGTGGCCACTGAGCTCATAATAAGAAATACTGGTGTGGCGCTTTTCATGATTTTACATATCTCGCATGTCTGTAGTACAGTAGGCCTAGGTCCAATGTCATAGTAAATTAACACTTTAATACAAAAAAAAAAGAAATACTTGTGTATTCATTGTGTTATTAATTCATCTTAACACTGTATACATTGTATTTAAAACCCAAATTCTTTAGTTACACAAAAGGTAATAATATACTATTAAGAGCCACGACGCGGTGCATTTTTGAGCATTTAAGGTAATTAAAAATATATAATCTGAATCCACGATTTTGTAACAAGATAGCAATAAAGGCTTTTATTTTAGTTATAAGTCGGTTTATTACAGAAAACGTATTTTTAAAAACTTGTTATCACTTGCAAATTGACATCTTATTGAACATTTCAAACATTTTTGCATGCAATCTGGATGTTTAATTTTGTGAATGAAAATTTCACAAATAGTTGTCTGTACTGAACTCGATGGATCAGTCAGCATACATTGTGTAATATTTTTAGCCCATTTTTTGTGTTGAACTTTTTTGTTCCTGAAAACTGTAAAACATTAGCTTTTATGGTTACGAGTTGAGTGTTGCTTACACTCAAAT